AGTAGGGGCATTTGTAGACATCGAAATTTCGGTGAAACAAATGTTCACCAACGTATTAAAGTTTTGACGTGTCAGGGCATACATGGCATACGCCACGTGTCGTACAAATTGTACACATGGCATGTGACTCAACAAAATAGGAAGAAATACCCTTGGATGATTAAACAAGTTTTTCTTCTCAATTTGGGCAATGACAAGGTAAGCACATTTCAATCCATTACGGATCAAAGCAAGTTTTTCTCATTTGGACAATGACAAAGCAAGCACATTTCAAGTTTAAAATTGTATTAAGTGGGAAATTAGGCCATAAATAAGACCACTTCAATTTCAATATTGCATTAAGTGGAAAGTTAGGCCATTTGTTAGACCACTTCAATTTCAATATTGTATTAAGTGGGAAATTAGGCCATAAAGAAGATCACTTCAATTTCAATATTGCATTAAGTGGGAAAATTAGGCCATTTGTTAGACCACTTCAATTTCAATATTGCATTAAGTGGGAAAATTAGGTAATAGTGCTTGGGTGGGAAAATTTTGTGGTGGTGATTCACTCTCAAAGCCTATAAATAGGCTTCTCCATCAAGAGGAAAAAACACCAATTCACAAATACATTTCTCTACACACACCAAAACCTTGAAGCCTTAAAGTTCTAAAGCTCTCAAGAAAATCCCGAAGGATCAAGAAAGCACTCTTCGTTCTTCGTCAAATCCTTCTTCAAGATCAAGCCCAACGGCCCTTGAAGAACTTCCACCAACTCAAGATCAAGCCCCGACGGTCCTTGAAGAAAGTGTTCATTGTTCATCATCCGTTCATCCTAAGATCAAGCCCCAACGGTCCTTTGGATCAACAACCTCAACAAATCCACACATCCAATCGTTCTTCAAGATTAAGCCCAAAAGCCCTTGAAGATCCGTTCATCCATCAACCTTCAAGATCAAGCCCAAAAGCCCTTGAAGAAATCCACACAACCATCATTCAAGATCAAGTCTCGACGGCCCTTGAAGAAAACCAACCGTTCTTCAAGATCAAGCCTAAAAGCCCTTGAAGATCCGCTCATCCATCAACATTCAAGATCAAGCCCTGAAAGCCCTTGAAGAAACTTCCATCAACCTTCAAGATCAAAGCCACGAAGGCCCTTGAAGAAACTTACAACTGTTCATCCAAGATCAAGCCTCGACGGCCCTTGAATAAACAAATCTACATCTTACGGAGATCGAATCAGAGGACCAAATTACAGAGAGATCGTAACCCCAAAATCATTAAACACAAAATATTATTTTGTACACGTTATTCTTGTCTCTTGTTTTCAGGAATTTTCCGTGTTCACAACTATATTTCCCAATAGCCTAAGGACAACTCATCACGGACTGGAAAAACCCAACAAAAACAAATCTTAAACTGCTTGTTGCACAGGCTTTTGCAGGTACATAATGCTTCTTGGTAATGTTAGTTTAAATTTGTGAACGGCATTTAGGAGATTATGATGTCCGATTACAGCTGACATTGTGTTGTTTTAGCATGATGAGGCTATGCTTCATGACAATTCAACATTTTAATAATTGGTTTATTGCTTAATGGTCTCCATATTTTGAATTTCCTGTCATCTTTTGTTTATTACAAAGTTGTTTTGGTACAATGTATTTCGTGTAACATGGTATCAAAGACGGAAGATTTTAAGAAATGAGATATTATTCTTGTTGTGAATCTTTTTGACTTTCAAGGGGAAGTTGCCAATTGTTCAAATTTTGCTCAAGTTGTTGTCATCAAGAGTTGAGAAGAGCCTATCTTAACTTAGAAGGGTTGCAGAAATTGTAAAAATATCTTATGTATTGTATGTATCTTTAGGGTAAAATCATAACCACTAGGATTGGTTGAGAGGAATAGGAGTTCATTCTCAATGAAAGCACTAATTGTTGGAACCAAATTTGTGTAAAGCTGCATATGGTGAAGGTACAAATCTGAGTAACCTGCAAAACCGTGAGCAATCTTGAAACCACGGGGTGTGCTAGTCAAAGGCTCTCCAATGGTCAAGTTAATAAGCAGTTTTAAACTCAACCAGTGGGCAAGAGAATTAAAGTATCGAGATTGCGTTATCAGGGACGAACCTTAGATGAATGTATCTATATCATTGGGAGAGAGACCTTTTTAGGATAGAATCCTTGTTCTAAGCCAAGAGAATCATAGAGGATATATAAAAGTAAATATTGCAAACTCTTAGGAGTTGTGATTACTTTCGGCACACGCCAGTTCCTAGATTGTAGGAACTTCAAGTCATATGAAGAATCTGATTGATTTCATATCCATATTAGATTGCGTGACTTATGGAACAAGCATGGTCATACCAATGGAGTCGCTCGGGCTTAGCTTATTGCCCCGAAATAGGGTGATGGTGGCACCATTGCTTCGTCTGATCTAGCTTCGCTTGGAGCTGTCGAGTCCATGATTGGACTTCTAAGGTAACTGTATTCTGATTAACCTTACTCCGACCCTAGAAAATCATGGTTCCACACATGAGATGGTCATTGCCATAAATAATAAACCTAAAGGGTAAACAAGCTAGAACTACTTTATTGGATACATGTAAAACTAATATTAAAAATGAGTTGAAACCTATTAAGCAGACATGGCGCACACACGGGGTGTCCATCATGTCAAATAGATGGTCGAACACAAAGCACAATCCACTCATAAATATTGTTGCAGCAAACAATTGAGAATGTATGTTCTTGTATGCAAATGATTGTTCAGTTGTTCTTAGAGCATGGAACCAATGCGGCAAAAGTTTTTGAGCTCGCGCAAAGTGATTGTTTTTGGGATGAAGTAGATTCCATCATAAGATCACAAAGCCCATATATTAGCTGGTAAAATTTTGTGATGGCGATAGACAAAAATGGGTGAAATTTATGAAAAAAGATGGATAACATGTTTGGTGAAATAAAAGATAAATGACAAAAGAAGATAAAATGCATGAACAAGATTTTTTTATTTTGAAAAAAAAAATTGTGCTTAGCAGATGGTAACATTCATTCCTTTATATTGTCTATCATTAGCTTTAACCCTGCAATTTTATAATGTATAATATCTATTAGAAATGGCACCAGGAGGCACAACTAGAAAGATGTTGTCACAACCAATATCAAGCTCATCAACGGAATGAGTTTGGAGCACATATCCATATTCCATAATGTTAAGAGAAATAAGTTGAATTGCTTGAGAGTAGATAATTTGTTTTTGTTCATTCGAACATCCATTTTATATCACATTTTTTCAAAATTTATGAAGATGAAGCTTAAAAAAAAAAAAAAGATGTTAATCTAAAAGAGACAAATATAAAGGATCATGTTGGAAGGTTTGAGGCAGCAATTATTGGAGGAGGAAGATCAAACTGCCATTGGAAGCAGTTCAAGCAACAATTTGAGGGCTCAGGGGAAACGACATGCATGATGCTGGTCCTTCTTCAAGTTATTTGTTTTTTGTTTCCATATTTTCAAATTTTAGCTACTTTTTAAATATTTTTTGAATATTTTGTGGTATTAAGTATTGTCTTTACAATATTCATTAGATTAATTTTAAAATTTAGTTCTTCAAGTTTTGCTGCTTCCGCTTCTATATGTGACTGGAAGATGAAAACACATCAAAGTCAATTAATTCACTTAATAGTTCAATCAAAATAATATAAAATATTCTCAAATTTGATAAAACAAATGTTACATTCTTATGTTATATATTCAAACACTTACCGCAAAGGCACAAATGACAAACCAGAACAGTAAACGCCAAACCAAATTGTTGGAACCAAATTTGCGAATCGACATAAGAGGTGGAGATGCTCATACTTGTTTACCTGTAAAAGAACACACAACCATGAGTAAGCCAAAGATTGAAGGGAGGAGGTGTGCTGGTCAAAGGCTCTTTGAAGGTTAAGTTAGTAAGCAATATTAACACTATATGCAAGAAAATAAGTGTGCAGGAATTGCGTTCCCAAGATAAACCTAAAAGGGTGTATTTATACTAGTCGAGGAAATGACCTTTTCAGGATAGTGGAATCCTTATTAAATCGCATGCTCTTATGAGTGTGATTACTTATAACCCACGCCAATTCTTAGATTGTAAGGACTCCACTATTAGAGGAAACCCACCGATTCCTTACTGGATTAGGCTTTCATATGTTGTAGAACAAGCATGGTCAATTTCAGGCGTACTGATTCCGGAACAGGATGAAGATGACATCACTGCTTTGTTTAGTCGGCTTCGTAGTGAAGGCTTCTAAGTCCATAATTGGACTTTTGAGGTAGTCATATTTTGATCCGCCTTACTCTGTCCTTAGAAAATTATAATGCCACACAAATCTAGAAGGGACAAGCTCACAATTATCTTGAGTCTCCCAATCGAGGGGGTGATACAAAGATGGAAGGATAAACTCAATAAAGATTACCATCTGATGAGGAATTGACGAAGATGAACCTATAAATTTACAGGTGCGTTTTCTTTTCTTCAATTTTTCTGTGATCTCGTCGCTCTGGGTAAAAACGCAGATATTCAGTGACTTGTCTGTTCAACTAACATGGTCTCCTCCTTGAAACCAAAAACTCTCTCGATGCATTCCCACTTTTGGGGTGGATTCGAAAACTGAAAACAAATCGAATTGAAGGAAAAAAAACCAAATCGAATTTGGCAAATCGAAATACGTTTGTTTGGTTTCGCTTTATTGAACCAAAGCCCAAAAAATTGTATAAAAAGAAAGAACCGAATTTGACAAACCGAAGTGAACCGAAATATGTTTTTCGGTTTCAGTGATTCAGAAACCGACCCGAACCGAACCGAACCGAACCGAAATTTAAAACGGTGTCGTTTTACTTGACCCCCTCAGACCTTGGGTACACGACGTCGTTTACCCGTTATCGGCAATTCCTCCATCAGAGCTCTAGAGTCTCCCTCGCAGACCCCTGCGAATTCCTCAGACCTTGAAACCGAACCCGGTCCTCCCAACCCTCGCGAATTTTTCACTCAGACTCTCAGTCTTCTGAATCACTCGCGATTCGCGAATTCCCTTTCTGAATCACTGGCGAATACCCTTCCTGAATCACGCCGTCGCCTTCTCCTCCCCGTCTCACAGCTCGCTGCCTCCTTTTCGTCGGTCAATGGTAACGTATTCCCTCTCTCTGGTACTTCCGATTTTATCTTTATACCTGTTTGGGCTGCTACTTTTAGTTTCAGATACCAAATGTTGCGAAATTAGGGTTTCCGAATGTATGTAAATTGTATATATTTCTTGCCAATTTTAGTCTTCGTTCTGGAATTCGCTAAATTTCTGATAGATTTGAATGATTTGGGTGTGCAATTTTACCATTGTTGGTTTTGATTGAGCTGCGTTTTAGATCTTCGAGGGTTCGGTTTTGTATCGAATCCTCGTTTGTATATGCTGAATAAATACATATATAATGTAAATGATTTGTTTCTTGAGATATTTGTTGAAATCAAAAGCAGGGGATTATGAATTTTGAGATTATAGTTCATGCATGATCATGTGAAAATATTTGTTGATACTCTGTACCAATAAACGATCACAAAATAAAGCATTCCAAATTTCATTCTGGTTATAATTGGCATGATCATGTGAAAATATTTGTTGATACTTATTTCATTTTGATTATAATTGGCATTCAAATTTCTTTGGAAATTAAAGCATCAGAAGGCTCAAGTTTTAGAAGACTCAAGAATCACTTCCGATGTTAAGATCCCTGATAATGGCAACCTTAAAAACATTTTTCAGGTAACCAAAAAAAAAAAAAAAACCGAATTGAACCCATACAGAACCCGACAAAATCGAACCGAACAGTAATTTTGGTTCGTTTTTGGTTTTGGCAAAAAACCAAACTGATTGAAACCGAACCCAGCCCTACCCTCTTTCTCCAACCCCACCCAAACCTATCTGCAGACTCCGACCTGGGTCTCACTCTGTCAGCCCTGTCCATGTCTTCCTCTGCCGAAACTTCCCGGAAAAGCCACGTGCTTTCAGCCTTGAAAAACCTTGAAATTAGAGATGAATAGATGAACAACCACCAAATTTACCACCGAATTGTCAACGAATCGGTTCGTCCCTACCATACGGAATTCAGATGCTCTTTCCGTATTCGGCAAACTATGGTGTTGGGTCTTTAAGTGCTAATTTTGAATCTAATAATCACATAAGCAGTTTGAAAGAACTTTTGAGCTTCAGTGCTTGTTTTACGGAGTTCTTTTTGTGAGTTTTGGTTTTGAATGTGAAATTACTTGTTCGTTACCCATATAAAATTCTACCCAATGAAGGGGTGCATTTCAAATTGGGCCATTTGAAATTAGCAGATCTGAAATTTTAGATCCTTATGTAAATAAGTTTGATAACTCAACCAGAAAATATTATGAAATATACGGAGAAATTGAATTTGGGGTGTATTAATGTGAATCCTTGGTGCATTTGGTGTACCCTAGTTAGATTGGTTCCTTCTATTTATTTAACTTGGTCTTTTTTTTTTCTGAATTGATTTTTTCCAGGCTAAGCTTAACTCCTCTCCTTACAATTAACTAGTTGGATTTTCACCAAGTTTGAAGGTCAAACAAAGTATAACTCGAAGCACTGGAATCTGAGAGCAAGAGCATATAGATATCTTGTTATGCATTGAACATGCAGATAGGGTCAACAGTCATCATGGACTCTGAGGTACATCCTCATCAGGGGAGCTTCTTGGTTCAGGATGGAGGTCCAGTTGTAGCCCCAACCATCTCAACTCATGTCGCACAGCAGCAGCCCAGTATGCTTAATGCGAAACTTATGCCTAAATTTATTTATTATGGGCTTCTGCTGAATATGTCAGTTTCCCAGGTACAAATTTCGATGTTCTAATTGTTGTGAATGTGCAGTGAAAAAAACAACACGGCAATGGGCTGCTTGGACACATCAAGAGGAGGAAAGTTTCTTTTCTGCGTTACGACAAGTTGGGAAGGCATGTTCTTGTTATTTGGGTTTTTTTGTTTGTTGCCAATTTACTATTTTAGACATAATAATCCCTAACTGTTCAAACATTGATTGCAGAATTTTGAAAAGATCACTCGACGTGTTCAAAGTAAAAACAAGGATCAGGTATTTGATCACAGTTACTTTTGACTGTTTTCACGATGGTCCATGGATCCTCCTGTCGACATCTTGATTTTAATCTTCTTTCTGTTTCATTTTGTTTTCTTTCCCCTTCATGGTTTCCAGGTCAGGCATTATTACTATCGTCTTGTGAGGCGTATGAACAAGCTGCTGGGTCCAGAATTGTATTTGGATTCCAAAAATTCTAAAGATACGAATGCTGCTATGCTTCGATGGTAAGATTCGTTACTAATCAGATTACCCCCATTTTTATTTCCTGTGGACCTCCTCTAAAAAAATACAGACTGCAGTTGGATCTTAGTTTTTAACAGTCTTTGTTGGGAACATTCAACCTGATATTTATCGTTGATCAAAGGGCTTAGGGACATCATGATTGACAATTACTTGTCTGCTGAAATTGTCTTGATAAATAGTACAATTGTGCAGAGAATTATGTGTTTTGAATGATTTTGTTGCAGGTGGTCTTTGCTGGAAAAATATAGTTGCAAAGCATCAAAGCTTCACTTGAAGCCCCGAAGGTTTAAGATCTTTATAGAGCACTGGTTAGTAAAATACACTAATTGATCCATGAATACTTTCTTACAAATATATGTGTGTGTGTGTATATATATATAGATATATATTGGATAAAGAAATACTTTCTTATGTTTGATAGATTAGAATTTTGCTGACCACCAATTTAGCTGACCATGCCTTGTGTTACACACATCAACCATGGGTAACTATAGTGTAATTCGTGTACATGATGAGTGGAGCAGTTTATGGTGTAGCATGGTTAATGTAGTTTCATAGAAGGGCACTATGTTTGATTTTGATCTAATATACTGATCATGGATTGACTAACATATGTCTTTTCCTTAAAGGAACACCAACTCCTGAAAGACCGGAAGAAGAGTGTTAGGAAACGGCCTTCTCAGGGGGAAAACTGCCCTCCTAATGCTCCGAGTACTGTTTCCAATCAGAATAGACCATCAGGACATGATAATCGCACAGTTAAACTGGTTCTTGTTGACAGTCACAATATTCAGAAATTAGGACCTGGAAAAGCATCAATGAAGCGCAATGTAAATATAGGTGTTAATCGTAGCAACAAAGGAGACTCAAGTACCATGAAACCTGCTAGACAACGACGGAAACCAGGTGATTCTTTTTGTTAGTCTAACCACTTTTCAGTCTCTCCTTGTAACAGATGCTAGTTTATGTGGTCATTTTGTTTTGGTACTTCCTTTAGGTAATTAGTCACATTGACAATCTTTTCATGTAAAGTTTAGAATTTAATTCCTATTTGCTGCATTGTCCCAGCTGTGCAAATTGGCCTCTAAATTGTTTGGTGCACTTTTTGCTCATATATACTTTCAGCGAAGTGGTATAAGGATGAGCATAAATATCTGATGTCACCTTCCACCTAATATGAAGGAATATCTGAGTGCATTTGGATTTTAGGGTTTCACCCTCATTAATTTTATGTAACTTGCTTGAATCTGAGGATGGTTATGGTTAAATTTATTTTGGTTCATTACCTTGAAGTTTTCAAACTACCAAGTACCTTTGTGACTCTAGTTTCTTAGATTGCTGTTCTTGCCTCCTTGAAACTTAATGTCTGGCTTTATTCTTCTTGTTTTCTTTTCCCGAGAATAAAATTGACTTATCTTCCTCTCAATTAGAAAAAATAATATGAAGGTTTTACTTAATTTGATTTTCCCCGTGGTGGATACAGTGAGGAATTGCTTCTTGTTTCATATGATATCGGCTTCATGTTGTAAAATTACTATTCATATGGTATCAGCTTCATTTTATAAAATTACTATTCAAAATAATTAGCAGTATCTGGTTTTTGAAATAAGTGAATATGGTCACATATTTTTACTGCTGGTTCCATATTGAGGAAATTTGGTATTTTTCTGGTTACTAATGTATTATTAGCAGGTGCTGTCTCGTCAGTGGCGTATAAAAAGTGGGAAAAGGCTGCAATTGCTGGGGTTTCTTTGGTTGCTGATGCTGCTGAGCACCTGGAGCGAGCAGCAACTGATAAAGAAGGTCAGCAGCAGGACAGAAGCACTGAAGGTGAGTCATTTTTTGGGCCAGTTTTTGTCTGTTACATTATATGTTCTTGAAGGGCTTATCCTCAATGAAGTTGGGCAAAGTTTCTTAATGCAATGGTTCTTTTTGTTTTGATTTCCAGGGCAAAGCTGCTCTGTTCCTGTTGGAACCGTCCTGTCCCCTATGCCCACTTTCCCACAAAAAATTTACGCAGAGAACAATTGTATGAAACTTAAACTCCAGTTGTTCCCAATTGATGATGTTACTAGGAGAGCCTTGGAAATTGTAAGCACTGGCATAACTAAAATTTTAGAGTTTGATTTGTAATAAAGGTTAAACACCTGAACACTTGTTAGAGATGTAACCAAAATTTGGGTTTTCATCGGTTCGCAGGATAAACATAATCCACACTTGGAGCTCACTCTTAGTACTCGGAAAAAGATATCATCAGTTTTGGAACACCTAAATCGCAAATGGGGGAATTCAAATGTAGCATCGGGAGAGCTAATGCTTTTCCCTTACAGTGTTCAGAGAGAGAACCTGATGGGTTATCCTAGATGGGCACAAGACTCAGTTGTCAGTGCGGCGGATGTATACTCAACAATTGGAAGCCCTCAAGTTTTTCGTTTAAGGTTTCTACTTCTTTCTTTTGAACTCAAATATAGTGTCTTATATTGGATCACTAAATAACATAAATGACTTGCTCTATCATTGCAGGTACGGTTGGTTCTCCAATACTGAGCTCAGGTCTGTTGAATTCCAAGCACCTATAGCATCTTGCAGCATTCAAGGGGAGCACATGAATGTGGAGAAGAGGAACGAGCAGATTGTGGATTCAACTCCTATATCTCATCTATCAACTAACAATCAGTCTGTGGATAAGAACTCTCTTGCTTTGACATCAACTGATGAGCCCAATGAGATAAGTGGCTATGTCTCCTCAAGTCCAAACAATGTGGGGACCCCTACAGAAATAAGGACATTGCACAGAAAGGAGGCTGGTGATCAGAATACCTCAGTACATCGGGGAGATCTGGTAATTGACCTTCCTCTGCTTCAAGCATTTAATTTTATCATTCATTCCAGGCTCATAGGGCTGAATAGACATATTAACAATTGACCTTCCTCTATGGGTAACTTCACCTCTCTAATTTTGTGAACCATGGAGTAGATTGTGCCGTAAACTCTTTACATATTTTTCTTGTTTATATTTGCTATGCTGTTTTTCTGAACATTTAATTTGTCTGTAAAAACCTAGGATGGCACGCGATTAATTAATGGCAATTCACTATCATCTGGTGATTGGGCGGATAGCCTAACCAACATAAGTGTTGGAGATTTGCTAGTAGGAGTGTCTCATGATTTAGATTCTAACCGCATTGATCCACCTGCTGCTGAAACCTCCCAATGCCTACAGCAGATCCCATTTAGCTGTGATTCTTTTGATGCTGTGATTGCCGCTCATATTGCTAGACAGGACAAGATGGGATGTCAACATATTATGGAATCCCATGTATCTTCTATCTGGGATGCTGAAGAAACATGTGATGGCTTCTCATTTCCAAAGAATCCTGTTTTCTGTCAAGAAGTTCCTAGTTTACCTGGGGTTGCTCCCCCAGGGCCATGCAAACAGACAGTTTGTACAAGCTCAGCGGGATCTGATCTTATGGTTGAGGTATCATTTCCTATTACATAATTTGTTTACTCAACTCTGCATGGTGGATGGGGAACAGGCAGAGTTGCTTTGTGAAAACACATTGAGTAATGTGACTTTTTTTTGCAGGACATACCTGTCGTTGACAGGCCCATTGATCCTCCCCAAGGGGACTGTGTGGACCAGTGTCAGCCGGATCTACATATTGAGAGTTCAGTAAAAGATTTTAACGCATTAGCAGATATATATTGGGTATGTTTCTTTTCAGCATTTTCTGTCTTTAACTTTGAAGCTTCATGACCTGTCTTGCCGGGTCTTGCTGAAACCTACCCCTGTTTGTTATCAAGGAAGCAGAGGGTCCTCAAAAAAGTGTTATTGGAATTGTATCTGTATATATGTAGAATTATTTTAGCGATACATTTATGGCATTTCAGTAATATTTTGGGGATAAATCTGATTTTTGTGTTCCTATCTTTACAGCCTGAATCTTTAGGACCATTAGATTTGGAGATGCCGTCCTCCAAATACAATAACGATGATTTCATGCTGAGTGATAGCCTTAGTGGGTTGAACCGCTTATTGCCAGCAGTCTTGATGCATTTCAAAATTGCTCCTTTTTCGGGGTGAACAAGAAAGAAGCAACACCATCAGCCGAAGGTCGAGAAACTGCATCCTTTTCAGATTTCAAAATTGGCAACGGAGTTTGATACGTGCCAAATCGGACAACAGCGTAACACCCTTCTAATTGCGGGGCTTCAATTGGAGTTCAGTGACTTTAACGTTTTCTCAGTTTAGCTCTGACTTGAGGATTGCATGCTAAAGGTGCCCCTGCGAGCCCGAATCGAAAACCGAACCTTTTATGTGTACAATTCTCTGATCAAAAGGTCGTAATTTGTACAAATGTAGAGAACTTGTATTTTGGATTTTTATTTTTTTACTTTCTTTTCCTTCTGTAAATTGTATTTCATAACTGATGTACGACCTACTGCAACCTGACCAGATGAACCTGGTTGTCTCAAACCCTAAGGTTGGCAGTGTTATTTGTACATTCGTTCCTACTCAATGTTTATCATCTTTTGCTGTGAATTTTTATCACAGATACAGTTTATAAATAACTATTTCCGGTACCAACGTATTTTCGTCCTTCGGAACTGTTAACAAAACCGAGAAGCATATTGGCAATGTGGAGTTTTACATTCGAGTTTGAATTTTGGCCTTTACATCACTAGTGAATTGGCATAAGTTTTTATGTGAGGATCCGTGCATCCTCCAATTGCAAGGCTGAAAGGCACTCGGATTCGATGGTGTCCTCGTGATTGTCTGAAAAATCAACTATCAAAGCGATATATATTCAATCCAAATTTTCTTATTCCAAACTGTCAACTTAAATCACTCATGAGTCGTGAACTTGTGTATTGACAGTTTGACAACATAAAATGTCATATTGTAGTAAGACAAGGTATTCGTAACCTAGCTGTGTAATCTAAAACTTGAGGTGATTTATGAGAAGGTTATTATGTACCATGGGAACAAAAATGACCATTTTTTTTCTTAGGAGGTCCAAGTGATAGTAGGGGCTTAAGACCAAAGCTGGCTCAGTCCAGAAGGAAATATGGACAAGGTTGTGCTTGTGGGCTATGGTTGCTGGCCAAGTGTGGAAGGTTGTGCTTGTGGGCTATGGTTGCTGGCCGAGTGTGGAAGGTATCAGCATCAACACACCCTCAAGATACTTGCCGAGGTTCTAATACCGGTTGAAGGCCAGCAGAAAACCATCACTCACGGTTTTTGTAGCTTATGTCTAGACTGGACTTGCGTGCCATGGCGAATATGTTAGTTTGATCATGATCCTCAGTGTTCTTGTTGGGCTGGGATTTTGTTATATGGTGGTGAATAAATTTGGAGTTGATAAAATTGACCCTGGGACGCAAGCTTCACGGCCAGATTGGTAAATGGGATTACATAGCCTTGGAGAGGGAGAGGCACCATAATTGCATAAGGCTTTGAACGATCTTCCATCTCTCTCTCTCTCTCTCTAGATTTGCAAGTCATTGAAAACACTATATTTTTAGGATTTTCGTTAATTAATGCAAAGTCATTTTCACTATATATTTTCTTTTTTCTTCCTCGGGTGCTTTCGAAGAGTAGACAGATTTTATTCCCACAACTTATACATATGGATTTCTAAGCAATTAATATCAGTTGACATCAACATAAATTAACTAATCAAACCTGTATAAAGTTTGTGCAGATTTCGAGTCCGTCACCGTGTTGTTTTGGAAATTGCTTGTTCTTTCATTACCAGCTCCACTTGATACATCAAATTTTCCAAACATATAGTGTTTGATCTGTGTTGTCTTCTGGAAAGTTTACTGGCTGCTGCCTTGTTTCTCCCACCCTTTAGCATCTGTGATCCTAGTAACTTGTTGATTCGCTTACATGAATCGGTGAGACTATTTTGTAGTATAAATAGTAAACTTCTGCTCTTGCAAAAGGCAGCCTGGTTTTGGACCAAGACGTATTGTTAGTACAAGAGCTTTCAACAGAGAGAAGTTCTACTGTGATTGGCTATGGCATCATCTTCGTCGATCTCTACAGGTTAGGTTTGTTCTTTCGTGTTATTGATACAATCGAGATTTCGTTTTGTGGTTTATTAACTTAAATTTTCTCTGCTTGAGGCTTTTATTATTCTTAGAAACCATATATGCAAGACTGAAGCTGAGTTCTAGCTCCCACCAAGTTTTTGTTCCAAAAAAAAAGAAAATCAGCTTTCACCAATTTAAACCGCTGTCTTTTCGTGATGCTTTATTTTCACGGGGCATTGAGCAGTCGAAGAATAGATCAAGCAGAGCAGTAATGTTGTGTACTTGTGTGGAAGATGCAAGTCACGTTCACTATATTCTCAAACTAAAAGCAGAAGAACAAAAGAAATTCAAAGCCTAATATGAATTTTGTAGTGAATATTGGAGAAAACATTGTGCGTAGAAAATTGTTAAATATGTACATGCAGACAAGGTTGTACTTGTTGGCTATGGCCGCAGCCGAGGTGTGGAAGGTATCGGCAATTAAGCTAGTGATGGAGCGGTTAGATTGGACTAAATGTCCCACAAGTTCAACAACATGGGCAGGGAAGACATGCAATACACCCTCTAGAAATTGTTCGAGGTTCTGAGACTTGTTGAAGGCCAGTGGAAAACAATCACTCACCATTGTCTAGCTCATGTCTAGGCTAGACTTGCGCGCAATGGCAAAGATTGCATACGCCGAAAACCACTGAATTTTTTTTTTGGGGATTAGGTGCCGGGACAAAATCCTTCAACGGTTACAAACGAAAAATCACGATTTAACGATTATTTAGCTCTGATTTTCATGATTTTTCACAACTACACTCCTCGATCCTAGAAGAATACGATGAACAAACCCGATCATCAATTTAAAATATTTACACTAGCTGATACGACTAAATCTTATGTTCTACTCAATGGAAGTCTGGAAGAAACTCTTAAGTGTTTGTTGAATCTATTATTTTGTGATAGGATACACATTACACAAAACTAGTTTCAATGATCCAACCGTCAAACTTGTTTGTATGTACTCCAAGATCACATAGGCAAAAAATCATGGAAAACAAACGTTTGCAAATTAGGTAATTAGATGGAATTCTTTGATGGTTACAAACGAAAAATCATAATTTAACATTTATTTTAGCTCCAAATTTTGATAATTTTATACAACTACACTCCTCGACTATAGAAGAATACCATGAAGAAGAACCTGATCATCAATGTAAAATATTTGCATTAGTGGATACGACAAAATCTTACGTTCTACTTAGTGGAAGTATAGAATAAACTCTAAGTGTTGCTTGAATCTATTGTTTTGACGGGATATGCATTTTACGAAATTAGTTTTAATGATCCAACAGTCAAACTTGTTTGTATTTACTCCATGATTGCATACACCAAAAACAAATTTTTGAGGATTGGGTAACCAGACGAAATCCTTCAACGGTTACAAATGAAAAGTCACAATTTAATGGCTATATGACCTTTGATTTTGATTTTTTTTTTTTTTTTTTGTAAGAATGGTAATTGAGAGTAAAACCACAGATTAAAGGGACTTGATCATCAAGTTCAATGACCTTCTAACAGTTGGAAATTAAATTAAAAAAGTAAGGAAATTAATTTTTATTGATGTTTGCCCAACGAAATAGGTGCAAGTCGTCCAGCAAACATACATATATTCGTCGGACAAAAAATCAAATTTGCCCCAAAAATAAAAGGTTGTCTGACAAAATATTCTAAAATTTCATTGGGAAAACTTTATTTCCCACCATTTTTTTTCATCAAAATTAAACTGCTTTAAGTGACCTTTGCCCAACAAACATTTGAAGTTTGCCCCGAAGAAATTTTACTGTTTTAAACACGTGTCATATCTTTTAAACCTTTGTTCGACAACCCATTTCGTCGGGCTCTAACTCGAGAGTCTTCCTCCTCCTTGTGCCACTTAACCTAGAAATCTCCCTCTTTCTATCTCTCTCTCTCTCTCTCTCTCTCTCTCTCTCTCTCTCTCTCTCTCTCTCTCTATCTTGTGCTCCCTCTCTGTAGTCTCTTAATCACTCTCGTCCGTGAGCCACCACCACCATCACTGATCTTTCTTCGTCCTCTTATTAGCCACCATCTACAAAATCAATGGTAAATTTGATATTTGAATTTGTGAAAATCTTCTCTATCTTGTGCTCCCTCTCTGTAGTCTCTTAATCACTCTCATCCATGAGCCACCACCACCATCACTGATCTTTCTTCGTCCTCTTATTAGCCACCATCTACAAAATCAATGGTAAATTTGATATTTGAATTTGTGAAAATTTTCTCTATCTTGTGCTCCCTCTCTGTAGTCTCTTAATCACTCTCATCCATGAGCCACCACCACCATCACTGATCTTTCTTCGTCCTCTTATTAGCCACCATCTACAAAATCAATGGTAAATTTGATATTTGAATTTGTGAAAATTTTCTCTATCTTGTGCTCCCTCTCTGTAGTCTCTTAATCACTCTCATCCATGAGCCACCACCACCATCACTGATCTTTCTTCGTCCTCTTATTAGCCACCATCTACAAAATCAATGGTAAATTTGATATTTGAATTTGTGAAAATCTTCTCTATCTTGTGCTCCCTCTCTGTAGTCTCTTAATCACTCTCATCCATGAGCCACCACCACCATCACTGATCTTTCTTCGTCCTCTTATTAGCCACCATCTACAAAATCAATGGTAAATTTGATATTTGAATTTGTGAAAATTTTCTCTATCTTGTGCTCCCTCTCTGTAGTCTCTTAATCACTCTCATCCATGAGCCACCACCACCATCACTGATCTTTCTTCGTCCTCTACTCTATCACCATCTACAAAATCAATGGTAAATTTGATATTTGAATTTGTGAAAATCTTCTCTATCTTGTGCTCCCTCTCTGTAGTCTCTTAATCACTCTCATCCATGAGCCACCACCACCATCACTGATCTTTCTTCGTCCTCTTATTAGCCACCATCTACAAAATCAATGGTAAATTTGATATTTGAATTTGTGAAAATTTTCTCTATCTTGTGCTCCCTCTCTGTAGTCTCTTAATCACTCTCATCCATGAGCCACCACCACCATCACTGATCTTTCTTCGTCCTCTTATTAGCCACCATCTACAAAATCAATGGTAAATTTGATATTTGAATTTGTGAAAATTTTGTGAAAATAGTGATCTGTGTGACTTTGGGAATATTGTGAACATTGTGAAAATAGGGAATACCGTGAATATTGTGAAAATATTGTGAATTTGCGAAAATATTGTGAATATTGTGAACATTGTGAAAACAGGGAGTATTGTGAAGTTGTGAAAATATTGTGAATTTGCGAAAATATTGTGAAAATAGGGAATTGTGAATGTTGTGAAGTTGTGAAAATATTGTGAATATTCTGAATTTGTGGAAATATTGGAATATTGCGAATATTGTGAAGTTGTGAAAATGTTGTGAATTTGTGAAAATAAAGAATATGGAATAAGAAAATAGGGAATATTGTGAATATTGTAAATTTGGGAGTTTGTGAAAATAATTGTGAATTTATGAAAATATTGTGTTTGTAGAAATATGTGAAAATTGTAGGAAATATTGTTACCCAAAAAAAATTGTAGGAAATATGTGAAGTTTATAGTAAAAAAACTTAAGTTTTAGGAAAGAAATTAAATTTGTAAAAAGTCTGTAAAATTGTAGAAATTATTGTGTGTGTTTTTTTTTTTCACACATGCCATCGCAGTTGATCATTAGTGGTCGTCGCTATATCTCCGCTTCAGGTCAGAGTGGCTCAACAAAAGGGATACCCAGCAGCACCTAGCTGGTCACTACTAAGTCGGTGATAGGCCCTAGTACTTTTAATACATCGAGGCGAGTGCCTCGATCTACCAAGCGTCTTCACAGCTAGAGATGCCACGAGCATGTGATGGTCCTAGCCAGCCCTGCTGATGTTGTGGAGGCCGATTGGGCGACTGTTCACTCAGAGGGAGATGGAAAACTCCCAATTGAGAAGAAGAGCAAATTGGGGAAAGGGGATCTGTAGAGGTTTGGCCTCCAACTACATCACCTGCTTATCGCAGGCCCGGATCGTCGTCGATTACATCCCACTCTACCAACGAGCAGGTCAGAAAGTCAACAACTTGTTGACTCACGACATAGGTGCCATTATCCGCATCATGCCCCATGGTCACCAAATGTGGAGGAAGCTCGGCCTCGAGGTGAATGACGAGATGATGAGATAGATTTCCGTGAGTCTAGAATTTTTTAAACTTATTAACCAACTTCGCCATTGACATGAAGACCTGGGTACAAAAGAGTACATATATATGGTGTGGACTAAGCAGTACAAGGAGTAAAAGTATGTACTGCACTGGTATTACAGGACTTGTGCATCTCCTGATGAAGCTCATATTGATCCACCCCCAAAGGTTAGGGAGAGGATTGGTCAGTGCGAGTGCTTGTGCGATCATTTTTAGAGCCCGACATTTCTAGTAATTTTTTAAAAAATTCTTTTAATTCCATTTTTGTATTTTTATTTAATTTTTAATTTACAGCGTAAATCAACGACAAATAAAGGTAACCAGAAAATGAAGCCATATCTTCATCACTTTGGTTCTTGGCCATTATCTTTTTAGGTCGACGAACGGCGTGAGCATGGCTCAAATTTCCCCGAAGTGGAGGCTTGGGGGGATAGACATGTCAATTATGGCAACTAGTTGGCTGACGATATTTATGTAAGTATTTTGTTCTAAATTTTGATTTCTAATTTCTTTGTACTATAAAATATTTAAATTATGATTGATAATTTTAATTGAGTTCTCTTTTTTTTTATTTTTTTTGTAGGCTTCTAGGTCACAGAAGAAGGACGACGTCATCTAAACTGCAACAGTTAGAGATGTAGCTAGCAAGCTAGCAAAAAGAAGCTGCGCTAAAGCAAGAAGAAGTTGCATGAAAGCGAGAAGTCGTACGCCAATGAGAGGACGACCTTATGCAATACATTGCTGGGATAGCCCAAGCAATGTTAGCTTCTGGCATCCGCATTCAGGATCATTTGAGAGACCTTCAGTTGCCATTCAACAGCCACCTGATCAGCACCTACCTGAGTGGTCGTACTTAGTTTAGTTTTTGGTAAAATATTTATTTTTAATATAATTAATAAATTTCTTTAAAGTTGAGACTTATGTTAGCTTTTGAGATTAATATTATTAAAATTAAATAAATTATTTAATTTAAATATTGTTTTTATTTCGAATTAAAAAAAAAGAAAAAAAAAAATATATATATATATAAAGGCTTTGCCCGACAAATATATTCATTGAGCAAACTTTTATTGTATTTTTATTTTTTATCTTTAAAATAGTTGGCCAACGAATAATTTGTTGGGTGAATTTTTATAATTATTTTATTTTACAAAAACTCGACGAAATTGTGTAGTCGAGCAAACTACATTTGTCCGGCCAGGTCAGTCAACGGTTTTTTATTGGGCGAATTTTATTTCGTCGATCAACTATGTTCGGCCGACGAATGATTATATTTCAACGGGAAAATATTTGAGCGACAGGCTTTCTGCGATGGAATTTTGTTGGGCAAAGTATAGGCGACGAAAAGGTATTTGGCCCGACAAAGTTTTTTCATCTAAAAATGGTATTTTTTTTTGTTTGTTTTTTTTTCTTTTGTTTTAGTGAACTTGATGTTTAATCTAAATTTACTTTTTGTTGCAGTCCTATTAGATTAGGAATGTGATTGTATAAATCCTAAAGTATTTGGGATATCCTAGAAGATTCTCTAGGGTTAGATTTTATCTTATTAGAGTTGTAATCTTATTAGGCTATGTATTTAACTTTTCCTACAACTATAAATAAAGGCACATTGGGGTGATGTAACATACATGTCTACAAATACATATCTTTCCATGTCCTTAATACAGTTCAATAAATTAGACCTACAACACTTTTGATTTTTTATACATAATGAAGTGGTTTTTGAATATAGATATAAGTTTTCTCTTGGTAGAGACGCTAATGAGATGCATTATGCAGAATTGTTATTTGGCCACATATCATTCATTTGGTACTTCAAGGTTCAATGCCGACTATTATGTTCAGAAAAGAACGTAACATAAAAGCGCATTTCAAGCTAAAGTTAATATTATGCTATGGACTTCACTGCTTTGTATATTAATTACTTTAGTCTAAAGAAGGTGGGAAAATTGCACTGTACAAATGAACAGTGTTTTGAACCATATTTCAGTTTATTTACAAGATTGCCACTTGGATGCTTTTAACCAACTTTCACTTAATTTACAAAATTACCACTCAGGCTTAAAAATCTATTTTCAGCCATTGGCTGCATTTCACGTTTGACTTAGCGAGAGAGAGGGGAGGGGGACATCACGCCTGACAAATTGGAGAGAGATAATCGCTCCTATTTTTTACTCGGAGATAGCTGGGTGTGCCTCTGGCGAGCCGAGAGAGGGGGACAGAGCAACTACAGAGGAGGGAGACACAAGGCCTGACAGATTGGAGAGAGATGGAAGCTACAGGGTTTGGACTGAGTGAGAGAGAGATTTAGGTAGGTGCTCTGCCAGGATCTATGGGATTTTCTCCCATTTTAGAGAGAGAGATGGGCAAGGAGAGTGATACAGAGCGGAAAGCATGGGTGTGTATATTTCTTATGGTTAACGGGTTACGCACAGAGGTGGTGAGAAAGGAATGGGTGAGGGATGAATGGCAGGGTCTGGGTTTTCAATTTTCTCCCTTGATTCAAAAGGTAATGCACTGTTTTTTTTTTTTTTTTTTTTTCATTGTTTAGTGTCTAATTGCCATTTGCTTTGTTAAAATTTTCATTTGTATTTTGTTCTTTCATTCAAATTGTAATGGATGTTTATAAATTGTTGAGTTGAGTGCTAGGATTATGTCTTTGTTTTTGTGAATTAGGATCTTCCACTGATTTAATTTGTTTGTTTCTTGATTAATTTTGTCTGATTGATCTTTTTTTTTTTTGTTTTAGAATTGTTACAAATATTTTGTTCCTTAATTAAAATTGTAATAGATCTTTGTAGATTGTTTAGTTCACCTTAGGGTTAACTATTTTTCAGTTTATTGTTTTTAATTGTTGTTTACTGATTGATTAGCCATTCCATTTATTAAGATTGTCATAGATATTTTCTCTACCATTAATGCTATCATAGATATTTTATATTGTTTACTGAACTATTAGGGTTTGCTGTTAGTTTTTTCTAGGTTGTTCAGATCACCTCTAGGGTTAGTTGTATGTCCACATTTTTCCTACAACCTAATCCATTCTCCTAACAACCATAATGTAGATAAATTTGTTGTGCTCCATTGCACATAGGCAGTAGGCTTCATTAAAGGTGTCATAGATATTTTTAAATTGTTTAGTTAACTATTTGAGTTTGCTCTTAGTCTTTGTAAATTAAGGGACTACATTGTCTTGATATTTGTGTTTTTCAGATATTTTTTTCCCTTTGCTTATGGGTAAACAAAATTCAAACTCCATTTTAAGTTTATTGTTTTTAAATTTGGGAGTTTAGGCTGTTTAGTTCACTATTCAGTTCACTGTTAGGGTGAGATTTCTGTCTTTATAAATAAAGGGGTTGCACTGTGCTCATTTGTGTGTTTGTTCATACTTTCCCACTAATTGCTTCTCACCAAATCACCTTCACGTTTTTTTTTTTTTTTTTCCATTTCACATCATTCGAATATCTCTATGTTGCTAGGTTGTTTTTCCATTTCTTGGTTGCTTCTGTATTTGTGTGATGCACTTTTTAATTTTATTTTTCATATGCATGTAGATCCAACACAAGCATACAGATCAAACCATTCATTCACATAACAGCCACCAAATAAACCATTATTAAGGTATTTGTCTATCCATTTTAAAATTTTGTTTTGTTAACTTTTATACAAACTAAATTATAATACAAATCTTTATTCTGTGTTTGAAACTTTCTAATAACCAGTATGTACAGCAGGTTTAGATGTCTATTTGTTGTTTTTAGAAATGGTATTTTTTCATTTAACTCGACTTACTATGCATCATAGATTATTACATCACCACAATGGATTTCTTTGTTCCATCCTTTCTCCATGTTCAGCTACTAAGTTTTTTTACTTGGTCAATTTAGAAAGTTGGAGGGTTGTACACCTCACTTGCTTTGTGCTAATTTTAGTTCTCATCCGTTTTCCTCATTATGAAAATCTTATTTTGAATGTATAATTATTTGATTTGTGCCTTTTGTGTGGTATGTTGTGTATTCTTAGCATGTACAGTTTGTCTTAGTGAATAAGTACATCCTCTGTGTGTATAGTTGAGAATTTGGATTAATTATATGATAATTTAAATTGTTCATAATTGCTTGGGGTTTGGGGGGTGGGAGGGGGGAAGAGGCAAAGAGAAGCAGCACAGAAGGGGGAGGAAGACAGAGGAAAAAAAGGAGGGAGAGAAATAGGCTGCATTCCTTTGCTTGGATTTTTGTTTGTATTTGTGGAATCATCATTAATGAATATATATATATATATATATATGTAGGAATGTCCATGAAAGCAACAATAACCAATTTGTCAATTATTGCTCCCTGCTTCCATTATCCGTGATTTTATTATTTTTATTTTATAATATGATGTGACAAAGATGGGTATGATGCAGTTTCGTAGTACATGATCCACGGCTCATGTGGTGTTGCGAATCAATTTTCGCCTTGCATGAAAAAAAACAAATGTTCAAAAAAATTTCCTAAATCTTTCACAAGTGAAACCATCTTTCCCACAGAGGGTTTTGTTGCATATAAGCATCGAGATATAGAAAATATGTTTGTTCTAAAATATGGAATCAAGCTAGATAATGCATTTGTTGTCCCTTACAATCGTGAGCTATTATTGAAGTATCAAGCACATATAAATGTTGAATCATGTTGTAAATCAACACTCATTAAATATATTTTTAAGTACATAACTAAAGGTGTTGATCGAACTAGAGCTGCTTTTGAGGATAAAGAGTTTGATGAGGTTGTGGCTTATCTAAACTGTAGATACTTATGCCCATACGAAGCAGTCTGGAGATTATTACAATTTCACATTCATTTTAAGGAACCATCGATTAAGAGGTTGTCTGTACACCTTCCATCTGACCAAAATATTCTTTTTGGAGAGACTGATGATCTAACCAATGTTGTTAACCACCCTAATATTGAAATCACTATGTTAACACAATGGTTTCAAACCAATGCCCAAGACCCTGATGCACGTATATTAGCTTACGTTGAATTTCCTACCAAGTATGTTTAGAAAATGATGAGAAACAGTGGGCCTGTAGAAAAATAGGTAGATCTCTAGGAAGGGTTGCCTATATTCACCCTATTGCGGGTGAATTATACTGACACACCCCGACCGAGATCAGATCCGGGTTGTTCTGAGCATCCTGCAGAGAAATGTTGTGAATACGCCCCTGGCCCTGCTGTCGTCCGCCACGACCTCTGTTCGCCTGAACACCGCGGCCCTGCGTACTACGCCCCTGACTGGGCTGACCGGTCTGTCTCGAAGACCCTGCACTACTAGTAGCAATCTCTCCTGACTGAAACTGTCCTCCCTGATACCACTGAGAACCGCCGGCTGGAGCTGGAGGATACGACATATAGCCACCAGAATACTGAGGGTAACCACCCTGGGAATAGGGGTCATGGGGATACTGATACTGTCCCGGGGCATAAGGAACAGCATCACCCTGATAATGATAGGCACCACCTCGTCCTGCCTGTCCATAACTACTCGGACCCTGAATCTGCTGTATAGGGGCAGGTGGTGGCAGAAAAGTCTGCTGCGGCTTCTGCTGCTGACTCTGGGGGCATTGCGCGGCTCGATGTCCCATCTGCCCACTAGTAAAACAACCACTACTGCCCCGCCTACACTCGCCAGTGTGCCGATTATTACACCTTCAGCAAAATGGGGCCCTGCCTCGGCCACCATCACCCTGTCTCTGGCCTCGAGCGCCATCAGTAAATCTACCTCCTCGTCCCTGACCAGTCGCACTGAAACCACCACTAGAAGAACTAGAGCTATTACCACCCATCTTGAAGTTCTGAGTCTGACGAGGCCCGAGCGACGCTTGACCTTTACCCTTGTCATCCTTCTTCTGATTACCATTCTTCTCATTCTCATCACTCTCGCTCGACATGTTCTCAGAGTCCTCAACTCTCAGCAAA